TATTTTCCTTCCCACATTCCTCAGCAGTTATTCAATAGATTTTGATAAATGCTTTGTCGTATAAATATCAATCAGCGTCTTCTAGTTGTTTAAAAATGCTTTTTTGGAATTTTTGGGATCATAAAGATTCAAAACTACTTGCTAAGTGTTTTGACTTTCATGATTCTTATTATTAAGCATATCCGAATCTCAAAAAACAACTTGAATGCTAATTTCGTATCTGGTTGTGATATGATTAAAAATCAAGTAAAAATAATGACTCATGACAGATTAATGACGTTTCAAGATTGGTTGTCATCAGCACAAAATTAATATAAGTTATAAAGTTTCAGATAACATGTAGAATATTATCCTATTACTATTTTAAATAAAATTCTTAGTTAATTTTTCGAATACCTTAACTGAACAATTCCTTTTAATGCATGCGTAAAAACCAAAAAAAAGTTTATACAATATCACTCATATATACATAACATAAATCTCCGTAACTTGCTTCGATAAATATATTTACTGAAAGTATAAATGTATTAACCTCTTAACTTGTGCGCTCGAGTTAATTCGAGCGAGCTAAACAGGCCAAACTGTGCACACTCGAGATAATTTGAGCGGCGTTGTATTTTATGCTGTTATAATTTCTCACACTCGAATATAATCGAGAATTGAAAATAACGTTGTGAAAGCTGAGGGAAGGAAATCTATTTATTGATATTTATAATTTACATAGGATTGTAAGCTATAACACTTATTTATTCAAGAATAAAATGTAACCTTTTTCTATGGAACAAAAGCGCAGTATATCTAAATTGTTCCCCAAAAGAAAGCAGCAACAAATGGAAACCTTTGAGGAGATGGATTTCTTTACATAAAAAAAAAAGATTTTTTGGACCGGTTTTTTTCATAAAATCTGTGCGTTAAGGGGTTAAAGTTAGCAATGTAAGAAATATTCATGGAAATAATTATAAAACTATGGGGTATTTCTCTTTCCGACAGTGCAAAGGAAAAAAAATTATTTTGCAAAAATTTTGCTTTCTTTTTTTAAAAGAGTAATTACAAAACAGTGTTCATATTAAAATTATGCGCAATTATTTGATTTTTTATTCATTAGCAATTCCTAAAACAGTTATATAAACAGAAGCTAAATAAAGCTTATTTAGGAATCTTTGCTAAAAGAATTAGAAATGAGCAACGAGAATTCGGAAATTTGATATTAGTATATATATAAGTTTTATTGATAAATTAGTAATTTACAAGTATAGCACGTGTAAGAAGTCCATTAAATTTATTACGAAATTGGGTATGAAAAAATATGCTTTTTTTGAAGTTTTTTTATAACATTATAAGCTATTACTGTATCAAATACGAAAGCCAAAATATGGTATTAAAAAAATCAACTAAAATACATTTAATGTCATTTTTTACAGAAGTTAGGTGAATAGACGATGTTCTTGTAGGATTTTTAGGGCATAAAATTACATTGAGTAAAATGTTTGATAGTACATAATGAACTATACATAATATACTGATTTCGGATATAATCCTCATAATTTCTTTAAAAATCACAATTTTTAGTTATTATAGAAATGGGATATTTTTAAACATTTAGTGCAAACGTCTCTAGGTAGCTGGAGTATTTCTGTTATTTATAATTCGAAATTTCCTTAAAAAATTAGGCAGAACTGCTACTCTTGCGTATGCCGTTATGTGAAAATACATTTCGTTGGTAGGTAGCAAATTAAAAGCACTGTGTTTTATCGTAAAAAGTAAATTTTAAATTTTTCTAATAAAAAGCATTTTTATTTTTTTCATTGTTTTTAATGACAGGAGGACTTAAGGTTTAAATAACCTTGCTTATATCATGTTTCAGTAATATTTTTTGTTTAGCGGATAATTAATTGAAACAGGGTTAGAGAGGATATATATTTTTGGGGCTACAGTGAATGTCATTTTCATGCTTTCTGAAAAAGTATTAAGTTTTATTTACTGAAGCATCATATATTAGGACATTATTTTAATGAATTATGTTAATTTATATTCTTTTACATTTCCCCTCTTTTTTATACAAAAAGTTCGATCAATTCAGTGGAAAACTCACACCTTAACACAGTTTAAGTTTTTTTATTCAAAGATGTTGATTACTTATAGAACTTTACATTTCTATAGGTGTAGTAAAATGCGTAACTTATGCCCTTGTCTATCAGTTAAGAAATGAATATCTCAAACTACTACATAAGAAAAATCAGCTTATATTTAGCTAAAAAAATAATGTTTTTCTATTGAATAATTATTAAATTACCGTAAATCGGGGCGAGTCTACCCATTTTTTTCAGTTTGTCAACTTTCAAGTGGTCAAACTTTTGTAAATATTAAAGAAAAAAGGCTTTTAATAGGTGTTTCGGAATCGCTATTTATCCCTCTTTAAAGCTGTGAAATCGATTTTAGAAAATATTAACAGTTACGCTGTTACTGTATATTTTTATAGAACTGCTGACAAATCTCTCGTATGGGGCGAGTCTACCCATTCTACTAAAATGAATGTTAACATTGTAAATAATCAAATTTTACTATTAAATTGTTATTTTAGTTACTATATAGGATATTTATGAAGTAAAATTCATAACTTTATTATATATTCCATTTTTTTATTCATAAAATAACACAAATTGAGTATTTGATCGATTATCACATTTTGATCACAGTTTTGTTTTTATAATCATTAACATTATAAAATAACATTTTTTTCTGATTATTGTTGATAAAAATAAATTAAAATTAATATAAATTTACAATTAAATAATTAATAAATAATAATAATTAAAGATTATTAACAAAATCGAAATTCAAACATTGGGAATCATGAAAAATCCTTTTCCCATTCTTTTGGGAGGTAATAATAATTTATAAATAATAATTTATTTAACTTGCATTAAATAAAAAAAGTTAATTTTGTAATATAAAAATTGAAAAAATAGGTAAAATAAACATATTTTATATTTACATTTATATTTAACCTATAAATTTTCTTATTAATGATAAATTTATCAATGCAGAATTAAAATAATATACTCAAATTCATTTAAAATGACTTAATTTTAATATAAACAAAGTTCTAAATTATATTATTATGCTTTATTAAAACTAAATACGAATGGGTAGACTCGCCCCGCGAATTCTGGCTTTTTGTTTACAACAGCAAAACTTACATTCTTTTTGTTTTTTTTCATATAAAATTAATGTAATCTTAGTCTTAGATAAGTTTATCACTTAACCAAAGTGAAAATAGTAATAATAATAATATACTTACGGAGCACCAACTAAAAGTTTGCTGATTTTCAATACAAATCTCTCAAAAGACGTTTGAACAGGTCGGTTAAAAAGACACCAAATAAATAAAAACGGATCAAACTACTACAGCGCCATCTTCCTTAGAGTCTGAACTAAGTCCTCCATTGGTAAAAATTTTTTTATTTGCAATTTAAAATAGTGAAAATTAAATAAAACTAAAATGGGTAGACTCGCCCCTGGATGGGTAGACTCGCCCCGGTTTACGGTAATTTCATTTTTGTTTAAACTCTTTTTTGCAGAGAAGCAAAATAGATTAATAATTAATGTGATGAGACTAGTGCAGACAAAGCAGCTATTTAAAAAAAAAAAAGATTATTCGAAAATTATTCATTCAAATTACCTTGTGCAGCATTCAAATTAAATAAAAAAAGTTCAGAACTTAATAAAAATAATAGACATGTTCAAAATGACGATAAATATATTTATTTAAGAATTTATAAGAATTCATTAGAAATTATACCCCCTAGCCTATCTTCCTTTTGTTCTAGTATTATTTTCGATAAAATGTTGAAATTTTAAAATTTATAAATGGATATTTGATAAACACGACTCGGTTTTCCCATTTGTAAAAAATACGTGGAAACTTATTAATTCATTACCATTAATTAAAGTATGCTTTATTTTTTTCATCTTGATAATAATTTATATTTTCTTATTAAATCTTTTATACATAAGGAAAATAAACAATAACTGTCTAAAACCATTTCTTATTGTAGGTGGGTTCGTCTGAAATATTTTATGAGAGGATTCTAAATTTGTTATGGAAATCCGAAACAACTTTTACTGTCACCAGTTTAAAATTAATGAAATTCATAACGGTATTCACCAGTACATTATTTAATTAGTTCTTATTCAACGATAATTATCAGCATTTACAATTTATTTTCGTATTATCTGCTATTATAAACTTTTGATTTTGATATTATTTAAAATTAAAATCTTGAAAACTAAAAGTAGCGTTTATTCATTATATTTTGAACTAAATGTATGATAATAATTTTTTTTCCAAATATTCTGTAATAAAGTGATTTAGTTACTGTTTTATAATTCTTAAACAATAAATAACTTATACTTTCTTTCGTAATAAATTATGTTTAGATTTAAAATAAATTTTTAATCTGTACTGTGTTTATTGAAGTTATGCAATTAAAACAATGAATACAAAATAAATAATAAAAATTCTGAAGCAACATTGACGATTACATTTTTGTACTATTGCTAAATAAACATTTTGGTAAAAAAAACAATTAACGTTAATCTAAAGAAATAAATTAATTAAGAATTAAAAAGAGCAATGTTGCTTATAAGTTAAATTCGTAACCGAGAAAATCAGTAGCTAAATCTGCTATACTGCTGAAGGTAGCTAAATCTGTAAAGCAATCGATTAATTAAGAATTAAAAATAACACTGTTGCTTATAGGTTAAATTGGTAACCGAGAAAATCAGTAGCTAAATCTGTGTAACCGAATATGTAGATAGATTAAAAAATTTAGGATTCGTTATTTGAATAGTTTTTAATTTTGATATAACATTTTATAGCCCAAAACAGAAATGTAAGGAAATTGTGGGAATAGTTGATCGCAACAAACAGGAGGTGGAGCCTCCGATTAATGACTAAATTTTTAGTAATTTTCTTGTTTAAAAAATCATGTACTTACCATTTAGTAGGGAGTCATTTTTCCGATATCTTTCCACACACTCTTCAGTAGAAGTATAGATTGTAGGATCATCACCAGGCAGTTCAACAAAGTCCATGGCTCGTTTTTTAGCCCTACAGATTTATGTTCCTGCGAGTTATATGTAGTGTTTCACAATCGAGTTGAAATAACTCAGAAGTACATTAAACCACAAATGCCTAAGCCAAGTTTACTAGCGTATAAACAAGACACTCTTCAAGATTTTAGGGTCTTCCTTTTTTAATGCTTATAATAATAATTAGAAAATTCGTGAATTTTCGTCTCATTATAAAGGCAAGCTTATTAAAAAGTACCTTCTCCAACCTGTGTATTCTAATGACGAAATTAGTTATTAAAATGTTCATTCGACGCAATTATATTCAATTGAAATGCATGAATATAGATAGCAAAATTATCACATTAAATATATTTCTAATGATTTTGAATTAAATATCAGTTCATAAGTTCTAATAAAATAGCATTTTAATATATAGTATTTGAAAGTTTTCCTAAATCTTTAAGCACATATTATCATATTTCTTTGATAAATAATTCACTTGGAACGTATTATTACATTAAGAATTGTGATTTTTTCCTCCAAAGTTCCATATTTTATTTCCCTTAAACTGAAAAGATTCTCTTTGGTCTCTTCATAAATATTTTTACGTGTTCACATCAGTTAATTGCTTCATTTAATAACATGTTCAATATTATCGTGAAAGTCAGTTTTGAAATTTCCATACACAATCCAGTTAACTACGTAGAACACCAGGATTTATATAAGAATTCAAATTTATCTGAATAGAAATATTCATTTCAAAATAGGATAAAAACTTAAAATTAAATTTTAAAAAGTAAAAGAAACAAGACAAACGATAAACTTTGAAAAAAAAATATTGTTAAAACAATTCTGAAATCTTAGTTTTTCACAGGACAGCAATAGGAGACGCTCTTTGAGATGCACGTGATGCAACTAAAGAAGCGCAAGAGGAAGATGGATCAGAAACTGAGCAAAGAAAATGTCGTTGTGAAGCAGTCTGCCATCCGACGAAGGAATCCTCATTGCTGATTGGCTCCCGCCTTCAAGAATGTATGGAGAGTGGGCATGCGTCAACTATGATCCCTCTCTTGAGTTTCTGTCAATGAAAGACCGTGAATAAAGTTCTCACTTACAATGAAACTTTTAAAACAAAGAGGTCTTTGCTTAGACTTTGTTTGAAATCTGATTTATTAGAATTTTTCAGTTTGAAAAGAATAAAAAGTTCAAAAACTTAGAAACTTTAGACAAGGAGTAAAAAAAAAAGTTTAAAAAGTAGAGTTTCTCACGACATGCTTGCTTTTATTCTTTTCCTTTGTTCGTTTTGTGTTTTTGACGTTTCCTTTCAGAAAGCTTAAATTTATTTAGTTTTCTTTAGATAGCAATTAATTTTTATTCTAAATAAACTATATATGTTTCCATTTTAATCTAGAAAAATACCTTTTTTCATTAGAAGAGAGTAAATAAAAACTTCAATTTATTATACTTTAACAGTATAATGATTTTACTGAACTTAATATCCGTAATAAAATAAGTATGATTAACATTATATTAAGAAATACAATTTAAGGAGTAATTCTGCTGTAAAATTTTCAAAATGTCAATTTTTCTTTCATTCTGACATAATTTGCCAATATGATAAATATTAAGATATTGAAAGTTATAGTTTAAGTTGGAATATAAATAAAACATAAAATACAGCTATTGTTTTCATCCACGCGTTGATTCATTTTGACATAATTCGTCAATATGATAAATATCGAGACATTGAAAGTTGTAGTATAAGTTGGAATAGAAATAAAACATAAAATACAGCTATTGTTTTCATCCACGCGTTGATTCATTTTGACATAATCCGCCAATATGATTAATATTAAGATATTGAAAATTATAGTTTAAGTTGGAATAGAAATAAAAACATAAAATATAGTTATTGTTTTCACACACGCGTTGATTCATTTTGACATAATTCGCCAATATGATAAATATTAAGATATTGAAAGTTATAGTTTAAGTTGGAATAGAAATAAATCATAAAATATAGCTATTGTTTTTATCCACGAGTTGATGAAAATTTCTAAATCCATTTTCCTCAAAACAGACACAGTAACTTCTCCAATTTCCCTCATATACTAAACATTAATTAGCATGTATATTATGAAGTTTCTGTGAACTGCGATATTTTGTTTACTTTAAAAAGAATTTTAAGACAAGTAAATAATAATAGTTCAATATTTTTTGATGTCCTAACTAATATCGGGATTTTTTCAATATTTGAAATAATAATTAAGCTGTAAATTTTTCAGAAACTTGCTTTCATTATTTGATTAATAAATATTTACAGGGTCCTATAAGATTTGAATGATGACCAGAACGGTCATAAAAGAAATTACGAGGATGAAAACCTACTTTTGAAGAAGGGATTGTAAATCAGGATGAGAGGGTGAAAATTTCTATAAAACTATGTTTACTTGATTGCAAAGTCTACAATGACGTAAAAACGTTTTCCTGACTAGCTCGAAAATGCCAAGTTTGTTTCCGATCCCGCCGAAGCAACGGCAAACCATGTTATGACATCTTCTGATGTGGTTACGGGTGATATATGAACTATAAATTAAGAAAAATTCACACGAATTGACATCTGGAGAAAGCAGAAGTATTGCGAGGTAATCCGCGTGACCATGCGTTTTTCATGATTTTTACTCACTCAGCGTGGTTTTAAACCCCATGTTCTATGGACAGTTTTCCTCCTCTTGGTACCTTTCCTGATCCCTCTGAATTTGCCGGTAGAACTTTCACACATGCTGCATAAACGCATTAAAAAATATCTTACCTGTAACGGAAATTGCATTTAATATGCATGGATGGTGTGAAGTCTTTATGTTGATTGGCTGTGTAAATAATACGTACAAACACGATTTAATTTATGATAAGATTATAATTAGAACAGAAAATAATTAGACAACATTTAAATATTCGAAATAATTTCATTAAAATAGTAGGAATATTAGTCCTGGGATAATCATTAAGAGTATAAATTTTCGCTAAGGTGTGTTTGATTGTTTTGTTTTTGTCATGCTGATTCCAAAACGTAATAGCTATTATAATTTAATGATTTTTGATGTTTAAATTGATATACGCATTTCCAAACTAGAAAAAAATAGCTATACTTGGCATCTAATAAAAGTGAAACGTTTTGTATGATCAGATAAACAAGAAGAATCAGAAAAACAATATCTGCAAAGATGTATTTTTTAAAAAAAATATTTAGGACAAGTTGCATGGTTGAAAATTTTACTGTGTTCTTTAATCCCCTTGAACTGTGTGAAATTTCAGCTTTCACCAAATATTATAGTACTATTTTTCTTAAGGATAAATATAATTTATATAATTACATTTAATTTAATTTCTTCTTCCAGTGAAAAAAATTATTTCTAAAATTTTTTGACAGGCAGGTACTTTATTTACGTGGCACAAGCCCTGCACAATGGGCTATTGGTGACTGTCAGGAAAACATCCCTGAGGGTGATCCGAAGACATGACATTAAAATTTGTGAGGGTACTTCCTCAATTTAGACATAAATCTGAAGAGGGCAGAGTTTTTCTTCAAATTCCCGTACCCATGGGTACTGCTTAGCATCACCAGATTTTCAGAGCACGTATATCGCATGTTCTCGGTGAGTCTTAGCGAAGTTGAAGATTGAATCTCGGACCGGAGTTCTTTTCTCTAACCACTTTGCTACCACCGCCTCTTTTTTAATACTTTGAAGTTCTGAGAAGCATATAACTCCAAACTGTTCCATTAAAATGAAAAAAACATTTTTAGTATTCATTTTAGTTTTAATGATGATTTAGTATTATTTTTTTAGCAATCTGTATAAATTTATTTATTTCATTTCTAAGTGTTTAACAAATTAAAGAAAAAAATATTTCAGATTCTTACTATCAAATAAATAAACTTTATCTTTTAAATATAGCAAGCGAAGTTTTATTTATCCGTTCTCTTGGAATTAACTTATCAATTTGTTGAAACTTACGATATTTTACCAGCTGTTTCTGTAACAATTTTCGTTTCTCTCGCTTAAATTAACAATCATAAGATATCAGTTAAGTTTCAGTTTTATTTTTTGAGAGCAAAGGTTTCAGTCATGCATTGCAGTTTTTAAACATTTCAGGAAACATATGGTTCAGAAATAAAATCTGAAGTTGTAATGATACAAAATCCATAATGATAATAATAAAACTTTTTTAATGTATTTATTATGGCATAGTTACTATAATACAAAGAAATGGTTTAGAAAATTTACGTAAATTGCAATAATGAGGAATATCAATATTTTTCAACATTTCGAAATTTTTATTAGAATTTCTTTTAATGTTGTTGCGAATAATCGTTTCGTAATCGAAAATCAGTTGCAATAAAAAGAAATCAAAAAAAAGTCGCAAAAATTTAAATTTACTTCAAAATTTTTTTTTTTTAAATCTTTTACAACATTAATATCAATTCTAAGAACGGAAACGCACATAATTTAAAAACAAAACATACCTTTTGTTTTTTTTCTGAAATTGTTTTTAAATCATATTAAAAATATCAATGAACTTCAAAATTCAATGAACCAAAGCATCACAGAATTTTGGCTTGTTATTTACATAACAAGAAAAATGAAGATAATGATCACAACTTTTTTTGCACGTGAATAATGTCCTGTTACTTTAAAGTACGCATTTCAGTTTTGAAAATCAGGAAGATATTTTAATTGATTGTTGCTCTGAATGAGTTTGTTACAAAAAATAAGCAAAATAGTAAGCAACCATTGTACCGTTTTCGCAACAGTTTGTTGAGAAAAATAAGCTACAAGCAATTTATTGTAGCGATTACTGATTGTTTTAAATTCTGATTGCGTTGTCGTAATGTGCTTGGATAACGATGGTGATTTGTAGCACGCGGGTAACGATTTAAAAAAATCTGTATCTTCAACCAGTTTTTTTCCATATTTTTTTTAAGTTACAGTTATTTTTTACAGTTATTTGTATTGATCGGATATTCACAAACTAAGTGCCGACCGTAACGTTTCTAAAGGGTGACATTAAATATGCTAATTAATTAGTGTCAACTATTAATTTACATAATCCCCTTCCTTCTCACTCCCGTGAAAATGACGGGGTGAGATTTCGTCCTCTTATTTTTCGCTCCCGTGATATTGATGGGCCGGAGTGCTCAGTAATAACGCGCATATAAGAATAAAACTAATTCATTTCTTTTGCCCGGAAAACATTGTATTTCTCATTTTACACACCTGATGGTAATACCAGGATATTTTTAAGGTAATTGTGGATAGTTAGTTTATTTTCAACTAGTTGCAGCACTAATCAAATACATGATACAAATACAGAAGCCAAAAAATAGGCACTTTTATGACCGTTTTCTTGAAAATTAACCGATCGTTAAGGGGTTAACAGAGACAGAAACGTTCTTTTTCTAAATCAGCATACCAGCGAATTTGGATTTTAGATCAGCATAACATGGGGGAAAACGTGATCTGGAAAATATGATCCCAAAAAGGATAGCTGTCGAAAGTTTTGTTCCTTTATATTAATTTCTTTATTTGCATATTTGTCCATATGAGAAAAACTGGTGCAAAGCCATATTATACAATTGCTGCATTTGAATATCATAGAAAAGTAACTTTAAGTAAATAAGAAAAAAAATA